GAGAGAGAGAGAGAGAGAGAGAGAGAGAGAGAGAGAGAGAGAGAGAGAGAGAGAGAGCGCGCGAGAGAGATATAGAGAGCAGAGCCGCTTCATGATCCATGTATATCTAACGATGGCGTACATCAGTCGGATCGCTCGTCGGTGTCGCACCGCCGTTACCATTACGTATAATGTACGACGTCTCTATCTCTTCCTCCCGTTGCCATCTCCCCGCAACCGAACGGTTGAATGCGAGAGGATAGGGGAGCCACGTGAAAGTGACTCAGATTTCGCTCCTCCAACTATTAGTACTTCGACTAGCTAGCACAGCGTGTTCGATCGATGCAGTTCGTGAAAGTTTTCGCGAGAGCGGGATAGATAGCAGAAGAGGGGCAGGAAGGACGGGGAGAAAGAAGGGATGAGGGACAGAAAGAAAGGAGAAGGAGAAACGATGGGAAGAAGGGAATGGAAGGAAGGAGGAAAAAAGAAGAAGAAGAGAAAGAAAGGAGCGAGGACGAAGGAGGGGGTAAGAAAGGAGAAGCGAAGGAGTGCGTAGGAAGCATGGAGAGGAAGAAGGGAAGAATGAGAAAGGAGGGGTTTCCCCAGCGGACGAGCGGGCTGCGTTGAGAGAATATCGGTTGAATGAACAGCGACGGGGTTTCGATTCGGTTCGGATATCGTTCGGGATTTGTCCGAATGCGCGCCGGATCGTTTTGTCATCGCGCCACTCAGCGTAAATGGGTCGCTATCTGTCGCCTCCATTCTCCACACCGCTCGACTCGATTTCATTTCGTCGCGTCACAGTTTCCTCCGCTTGTGCTCGTCATTTTTCGAGCGCTCTCTCTTGTTTGTTCTCTCTCTCGTTTGCGCTTTCGCTTTCTCTCTCTCTTCCTTGTTTCCTCTCTCCCTCTCTCTATCGTTCGCTCTTTTTCGCTCGCCCTCTCCCCTTCTCTCTTTTTGTTTCGCTCCTTTTCGAGATCGCTCTCTCACCTGCTCCTTCACTCTTGCCTCTTTTGCTCTTTCACTCTCTCCTCCTTCTTTTCTTTCTTTGGCGTTCACTCTTTTCTTCGGTTTTTTCTTCTTTTCACATGCACTCTATATCGCGCGCTCTCTCTCACACGCGTTTTATAGATATCGCTACCTCTCTCTCTCTCTCTCTCTCTCTCTCTCTCTCTCATCTCTCTCTCTCTCTCTCTCACTCTCTCTCTCTCTCCCTCTCTCCATTCTTCGTTCTCTCTCGAGCGCCTCTTCTTTCTTTCTCTCTCGCCTCTTTCTCTCTATCTCTCTCTCTATTCTCTTTCTCTCCCTCTCACTCTCTTCGCCTGCGCTCTCTCCTCTCGCGCCTCTCTCTCTCCTCGCGCGCTCTCTCTCTCTCTCTCCTCTCTCTCTCTCTCTCTCTCTCTCCTCTCTCTCATACAACACTTTTCGTTTATTCTCTTTGTAGCTCACTCTTAGTTCTCGTCGTTCTCTCAACCATCTCACTCGTTTCTCGCCGTCTTTCGTTCTTTCGCATTTCCTCGGTCACCGCGTTGACATTTCTCCTCTCTTGCTCCTCACATTCTCTCTCTCTCTCTCTCTTCTACATCATACCTCCTCCCATCTTCTCATCCTCTCCTCGTCTCTCGTCTCTATTATCTCTCTTTACATATCGACCATACGCCATGTACACAAGTACTACCCACTGTATCAAACCCGGTAGAATAATTCGTC